TAACGCGATGAATAATTTGGGCAGTTTTTTCATTCTCCCAAGTTTTTTTCAGATCACCAGTCAGCCAAACTGGAGACAAAAAAAATTAAATCATTTTTCTTCATTGTACTTGGATGACTTCTGATCTTCCTAGTTTCTCTCTCCCTTCTCTCTTAGAATTATTGTTCTTTTTATAATAAGTGCCCTTTCGTATAGTATTGGGGCGCATTTGACTGGTTTAAATTACAGGAAGGAACCTAGGCCATAAATAGATGGTATGAATTCTGCTAGCTCCAGGAGTACTGAAATAGCTCATCTTAAAAGACAGGGGAAGCCTAGCCAGTTGGCTAAACGCCAGGAGATTGCAGGGCTGACAATTAGTGGGAAGCCTGAAAGGGAGATTAATTGTAGGCTATGCTCTGAAAATGAGCCTATTGGACTTCAGTGAAAATTTGACAGGAGAGAGTTGTGGAAGAGCTGTGCACTAAGGCCTTAATGCAGTTTTGCCTTTCTCTGAGCACCCCTGTCGCCGCAAGGTGCTGGCATTTTCCTGGGATATTTCTGTCTCTGTGATGCTGAACTTTGACATATGCCGTGTTAGCTGGCTTCTCTTTGCCCTTAGGGAATGTATTCAGGAGCGGATTACAGAGGTCTGTTTGAAGGAAATCCTTCTTATGCAGGCAGCCCTTTCGTACAGCTAATTAATTGCAAAGGCCAACGTTATTCTTGCAGAAGATGATCTTCAGTCGTGCGACTTCTCCCTATGTTAACACACACGCACTAATTCAGTTTGTTACTCCACCTAGGATTCTGAATAGACTGACATTCCTGATACCCAGCTATCTAGAGCATCCATTTTTTTGCCATTAACAGTAGTTTTGTGTTTGTCCTGCAAGAGCAGAAGGAGCTAATTGTACGTGCCCACAGCTCTTGAGTGGTCAGGCCAGTGGGTCAGAATATAGCCATGATCTATGACTGTTCTTTGGTGAGGTGTAAGGATGTTACTGCTCATCAAAAGATACTTAAATAATAGCTTGTAGCTTGTACATGGCAAATCTGACATTGCTCAAAGAGTTTTCCAGGTCTTTCATATGGACGAGCTGAGCTGCTGTGGTTTACCTTAAAATCAAATAGCGTAACAGGAACAGAGTTCAGACTTCCTAGTATTTCAACCACTGTGGCATCTAGTGCACTAGTGGCTTCCAAAAGTCTTGGTCTCACAAGCTGCTGTCCACCATAAAAATTGATTGCGACACACAATTGTGGTTCATATAACAAATTTTTTTTTTTTTAATCTAAAGCACCCCCGAAAATTGTGAAATTAAACTGTTTAAAAGATGGCTCCGAAACAACCATAGGCCAGAACTCAGGAACTCCTGCAAGAAACTGTCCTTTCCCCAAATGCAAAAGAACAACAAATAATGAATGTAAAGTTCGGTTTAGTTTTGTTCTCCCCCTCACCCCCCTCCCCCCAGGAATATGTTTCTTCCTTGGTATCAAATAATGCCATTGGAGGGAAAGGTAGAGGCGACTTGCCAAAATCACTCGCATGTGTTTCAGGACAAGGAACTAAACACAGCTTTCCAGGGTCTCAGTCCATCTCCTCAGCCTCACCCTGGGCAGCTGCTTGATAAGAGCAGACAAAGACTTTTGTGCCACTTCGATTCCCATTGAATGAAATATGTTGCCAGCTTCCTTTCCATCGCCCTTCTGCGGCGGCGCCTTTGGCTTTTCCTCCTGTTCTTGTCAGCGCAGGAGACTTGGGGTTTAGGCAGCTCCACCTGGCTGCATTACATGCCCTCTTTTATTGTAGTACCTTAGGTGACCGTTTACCTTCCCTAAGCTCCAAGTATTGAGTCATTGGTCTAATTCTGTCCCCCTACATCTGGTGAATCTGTAGGCAAGGAGTTGTCTCCCATATTCACCAGTTACATAGGGGTAGTGCTACAGGCTGGGAGCAAGAGAGGTGAGCTCTCCCACTGCTTGCAGTATTGCAGAGCTTCCAGGCCCAGCTCCCTGCGCTCAGGCAGGCACTTGCATGATTAGCAGTTGCTGATGAAACTCCTATTTTACAAGCTTACCAGCAGGTCAAGAAGAGAAAAAATATTACACTGTTTTCAAGGTGAATGATTATTTGTTTATTTAGAACACGCATTTCTTTATATGTGTTGCCAAACAGAGTGAAATTGCTAAATGATGTGTCGTGCGCTCTCGTTTAGTGAAATGTGTAGCTGTTATATAAAGGTTTTAATGACTTTCTTCATCCCTCTGCTTAGGAACACTATGCGTCTGGCAAAATTTTGAGAAGGCTCAAGGCTTTAAAGAAAGCTCATCTAAATAAAGGAGGGTTAAAGTGACATTGCAGTTGCTTAATCCTGTATTGTCCTTCCATGTGACTTCAGTGATACTGAGGCACAGCGTTTCTTTTGCCTGGTGCATAGATTACGCTTTTCCTATCGTTTTCCAGGATGAGCTGCTTTGTTAGACCAGCAGTGGGAAGGAAACAGAAGGGCAACAAACTTCTCGCAGCAAGGCTGCGAGATCAGCCATTTCCAAGGCACACTGACAAGCTCACAGGCTGAAGAATGAATCAAAGGAAAACCCTCCATTCAGCTTTTGGACTGGTACCAGAGTCAAGAACTACTAAACCTTTAAGGTCAGCTATTCAAAATCATCTGGAAGCATCTGGATTTGTTCAAAGCAGTTATTAAGCTATTCTGTCCTTTATTGAGTTAGTTTTCAGGGCGGTAAGCTAAAGCCTGAACACTGAAGGATGAACTGATATGTATTTGTGTCAAAAATACTGCATAGAATGTGAGTAACTCATTGCTTTTGTGCATAAACAGTTTACAGCTTTAATTGCAAAGCCTCTTCTACCTGGTAGAGGAAGATCCTGACAAGCTATATCTGTCAATGGGAGGTGGACATAAATACCTTCCAATTCTGTCTCTGATTTTGGACAGAACCGCAATATGTAGATATGTGAGATTTGTTTTTGAAGTCATTTCCAAACTGATCCTTGAACATGCAGTAAGCTGGGTTTTTTGCTAAGTTTGTCACAATTTCCATTATGTCAAGGATTGTATATCATTTCGTTTAAACTCTTTATGGGGACGTCTTGTTCAATGGGGAAGTGATTACTCTGCAGACTATGACAACAGGGTATGTGAATGGAGGAGGTCTTGGAAAACACCGCTATGCCAGGTGGAATCGTGAAGACAGCGGAGAGGACTATGGGCACGTGGAGTGCTACGGAGCAGATGAAGAGGGCAGGCAGCACAGGCTGACTCCCTTTGAGAAACTAACCCGGGATATGTCCCAGAATGAAAAAGTGGTGAAGGAATTAACCCTAGGGAAGAGGATTGGATTTTATCGAGTCAGAGGAGAAATCGGGAGTGGGAATTTCTCGCAAGTGAAGCTTGGAATTCATTCCCTAACCAAAGGTAGGCACTGCTGCATCGGTCAAATGATTTCTGCTCATACTTGTTCTGCACGTATATAAGCGAAGCATCTCCTTTGGGAAGAAAGGTGCTGTTTGAACCCCAAATACACATATAGGTTGTGCGTGCTTTTTAACAGTAAATCTGTAGGCAAGGACACAGATAAATGCTTATGTTTGGATTAGCCTTTATCCTTGAGAAGCAGCCAGAAACATGTTCTCCAGGCATTTCCTACAAGAAAAATTAGTCTCTGCACTTCAGGGATTTAACACATCACACTATGTGGCTCGAGACACTCCACACTTTGGAAAACAGTGCTGTGCCCCACTCCTAATGAACAGTCTTGTCCACCTGCCCCAGCCATGGGCCGCAGGGCTAGGGGATGAGCTTGCAGGGCAGCCTGTCTTGGGATGCTCCTGCCCGCAGCCAGAGTTAGCAAGGCTTCCTTTGTTTCAGAGCAAATTCAGCTAGTGTGGACAGGCCTTTTATTCAGTAACAATAATTCTGGTGAAAAATATGCCTGTTTTTGCTTGCTTATTCCAGGTTCATTAATGGAAAAGGTCGGGACAGGGGATATAGCTGTGGGCTGAGCAGGAAAATGAGCTCTGGTACAGCCAAACCTAGGCACAAGCTTACGTTTAATTGTCGTCTACTTTGCTTTTTTTTTAAACACAGAAAAGCACTGTATATGCCGCTTCTAGGAAGAACTAGAAAGGCTAGATAACTACAGTGAACTAGAGGTAACTACTTTAGTTGAAACTAAGAATTTGTCTTCATCTATCCTGTTTCTCTTGTCCAGCGCTGTCTGACAATAGGAGCTGTTGCTTTCCCTCAGGGGAAAGCCCCCTTTGTCTTTGTATACTTCTGTCTCCTTTTCCTCATAGTCTTTCCTTTCAAATTTGGATTCATTCTTCTTCCCTCCATCATCTTAAAGGTGAGAGAACTGGGTATTCCCCAAAGCCTTCACACTTTGTTTTGTTGCTCTTTTCTCTAACTTCCGCTGTCAGTCCAGATTGCAGAGGTCTGAAAGCTCATGTTTATCCCAGTTATGATGCAGTTGTTGCACTGGGAACCAAAGTGGAGAACAGACTTTTTTTTTTTTTTTTTTTAAGTGGCTCTGCTCCACGTGGCTGCTTTGTTTTCTTTTCTGTTCAGTGAACTTTCTCCTTCTAGAGAAAACTGTCTTGTGCTTGCTGTTGAAGGAAGTGCTGCTCCTGTACTAGGAACAGGAGGAATGCTAATGGAAATAAAAAGATAAGACTCATCCAGATCAGAATTTATCTGTTGAATTCAAGACAGAGGTTGCTCTGCCATTTGAATAGGGTTGGTTGAAAGATTTTGTGACTACACGAAGTTTGAATAAACCAAATACCAAAATCTAAATCATCAGTTTTTCTTGAAAAGAGTCTTCTTTTTCATCAGAAATCTCTAAAATTATTTTCCTGTTCTTTGTCAGTAGCTTATTTCTGGTTAAAATGATAACGGGGGAAGCTGTTAACTTCTTGGCACTAAGTTTGCAACTGTCATGAGGAAGAAAAGATGAGGGGAAAACATCTTCTAACTCATCTCTGCCGGTAAGCTTATCTGTTTCTCATCAAATTTGGATGGGAAAATAGGAATGCATGTGTCTGCCCTTGCGTGCGCGCCTGTGCACACACATGCACACACACACGCACCCCCCTGCCCCTTCAGAAAAGAACTCTGATTGATTTTTTCAGTAGGCCTCAGCTCCGGCACAGCGCTAATGAGTCCAAGTCTTTCTTTTGACTGTGATATAAATACAATGATTAAAGCTTCATGATTAAAGCTGTTCAGGCCCCTGTGGTAAAGGGAGCCTGGTGGTGGTGGTGGTGGGATTCAGCTGTTCAGTTATCACAGTGTTAAGTTCTAAGTATGGTCTTTCTCCTGACATTTCGCCTTCAGTTTTCAAAAGGAAACAGTTTTGTTCTCAGTACTAAGATCAGCTTCTTTAATGATTATAGTCTGTGCTGTTCCATAGTCCTTGTGATGTGTTGCAGTGCAGTGTATGTGAAAAAGGTTTGAGAGAGGGAAACTGCAGGAACTTTAGAGCATGCTGGATGAAGAACTCCGTTTCTCTCTCAGATGTTATTTTGGATGATCTCAGAGGAGGCAGGAAACCATGCAGTGTTATGACATACTTTAAGGAGATTCAGACGACGTATTTTAAGGAGATTCAGAAAAATTACCCATTTTATTAATTTGAATTTTGGCAGAGATTTTCTCCAGGGCCTTGCTGAGTTGCTTGCTACATACAGAGTGTTAGGTTCCTAAGCTCTGTGTAACCTTTATTTTAAATGCGCTCCATCTTACAAATATAGTGTGAGAACACATCTGAATATGTGCAATTGAGAAGGTCCAAAGTTTACAGATGCTAAAAAGCCAGTGCCATATGAAACATCAATTGCACGGGAAAGGATGTGCAGGTACAATTTGCTTTGTTGTTAAGCGGTTTTACCTTAGTTCTGTTTTTGTCTTGCCATGCAGTCATAGCACGCGCTACTTTTTCTGAGATAATTTCTCAACCTTTTCCTAATGTTCTTCTCTTATTCACTAAGACTTCAGGTAGTTCTTTTCAAACCTCAATATTCACTAGGTATAGTTAATCACAATTTCTTGCTGCTATGTTTTAGTGTTTTTCTGAACAAACTGCCCACTCAGAATGCTTTTCTGTTCAGCACTGGTGCCGTGCAAGCGTAATATAGGATTTGTAAGCTAAGCATTTTTTGGAAGCAGAGGGAATTATTTTAAAAACGAAAATGAGGTACTCTTACACACTAGTGGGGCTGGTTTTCTTTGCATATTATGCATGTGCAGTTGCACATGCATGTAATTTATATGCGCTTGCTCCTGCTTTATGGTGGTATGATAGAGGATCAGGACCTTTAATTTTAAAACTTTTGTTTGTTTCCTTTAAAAATTTTGCAGGAAAACTGACCATGAGGAATGGTAAATTCCAGCAAAAGGAGGAGGAGGGAATTTTTCCCTCTTTGGGCTTTTCCTTTCCTCCTAGGTTGGTTGGTTTGTTTTGGCCCAAATGCCCCCAACTTCTATAAAGCAAGAGGTAACAATGCAATTCTGTGTTTAATATTGTGAGAATTGTTATCCCTCTATCATCTGAGCGTGTAGTTGTGCCAATGTTATGAGCTGTGAGCTCCGTTGTTGCTGACACTGTTTCCTCGTGGTTTAGGTGGTCAGTATGCTACCAATGTGACACGGATTTTACCCCTCTAGGTCAGTAGTCAGAGGTCTGCCAGCATTAGTGTTGTCTGCTGTTTCTGCTCAGTAGCTGCGTTTACTTCTGATTCACCGTGCCACCATCAGCACCACCGCAGGAATAGGTGACATCTTTCCTAACTGGCCCACTGGAAAGGATTGAACGGGTTAGGGAGAAGCAGGATGGGGATGGCTGCCTTACACCTTGCACAGACAGACCCCTTCTGAAAATAGGGACGTGAAGGTGATAATTCACCTTTTACAAGAATCCCCCTGGAACGTCTGTCACATTTTAGTAGTTGGATTGAAATATGCAGTTATGTTGTTAAGAAATATTAACACATAAAACATGGAGTTTCCTTGACCTGTACAGAGATACAGGCATACGTCTATCAATGACATTTCCTCTGCATATATTGAAACACTGAACTTCAGGTTAAATAATTTTATAATATTAAGTAAAAACATCTGGAATCTTTTTATACCAGAACATGCATGCAAACATAACGGTCTTCTCACTCTTCTCTTAAAGTGACAAGTAAACAATACTAGTTTTTTCTTTTTCAATTTACAGCAGAAACTGAGGGAGTGTTTTCCTTTCTAAAAGATCAGATTAAAATAGTATTTGTAAGGAAATTTAGGAACGTTCAAGATTTTTTAGAAAAGCCCCTCTTCCCAAGAAGAAATAGTTACCTTTACGGGCATGTTCCAGTTTAATTTTGCTGTCTTGGTAAGTTACATACAGCCACTGTAAACCTATTTTAACTAGACTAATCCAAATACTTCAAATACCAACTGTAGTCAAGATTGAAGACAAAAGTCGCAACCTATTTATTACTTAATATGGAAACATGAGGGCAATCCTAATTGAACTATTTATAGTATTTTGAGCTACTTTGGTGATGCAGTGCAACTGTGTGTATGTACATCAGTGTTTTGTGACCCTTGGTTTCATACAGATGTGCTACAGAAACACGGAGAACTTAGCTGCCTGCATTACCAGGACAATATAGCACAGCTAGCTTTGCATCAAGGTAAATAAGATCCCTGCAACTTATTTTGCTTTACTGTTTTATTCCTTTCCTTAGTATAAAATCTGTCTGTGACATGGACTCATGGCCCAGTGCGGAATACAGACACAAAATTGTACTTTTTCTGTGTTCTATACGGTACCAAGAACTACTTGTGTATGAACATGTTGGAAAAACTGGCACGCCTATCCTGAGAAAGACGAACCTCTACAACACTGGGCTTGGTAACTTACTTAGGAAAATTTGTGGGGATAGGAAGTTAGGTTAAGGTTCCCTAAGTCACACCTACTTAAACACATCTTTCCATTATAAACTTGCAGGGTTATATCCAGAGTCCCTAAATCACCTCCAGGTTAGCCTGTCTATGCTGAAACGGAAGTACCTGAATTTGAAACTTCCTTTAGCCTGCAAGTACCAGGCTCTTGTGCTTCACATGCCTAATCATCTGAAAAGCACTGAGATAATTACAAAAGAAACTGAGAAAGTAGGGGCTATCTTCAGCAGCCTAGCAAGTAGCACACTTGAGAAGGGGGGGGCACAGCTTTGCAGCCCAGCTTTAGGAGCTTTGCAGCAACAATCTATATCCTAAGAATGCATCGTAGCTGCTATACACTATAAAGCCTTGATGGGCATCTATCTTGCTTGCCTATGTCTCTCTCTAGGTAATAGAGGGAGCGAATGCAGGCTTTCCATCACACTCTAAACACTTCACTGAGGCCAGCTTTCTACTTCCACTGTTGCAATACCTAGGTTAGAGACATCAAGTAGATGTTTTCAAGCTAATACATTTCTGATGGCCGTATTTACAAGTGGAGCACACTAAGACAACAGATGATTTGATTAGCACTAGCAATACTCTACTGCCCCTGTAGCTATCATCATCAGTAGGGTGTAGGACATACACGGAACAGAACACAGGTTACAGGGTTTAGTTAGGCCTCTGTAGCGTGTCTTAAATTGATCAGAGGTGAAACTGAATTGCAGTTACATAACTAAGTATGGTTGTATGAATGGTAATACTATGCATGTATCTATTGCATTAATAACATGGACAAGCATTTTTGCTTTCAGAGAAAGTAGCAATTAAGATTCTGGACAAGACAAAGCTAGACCAGAAGACTCAACGCTTGCTATCCCGTGAGATATCCAGCATGGAAAAACTGCACCACCCAAATATCATTAGACTGTATGAAGTGGTGGAGACTCTCTCAAAGCTGCACCTTGTGATGGAGTATGCAGGAGGCGGGGAGCTCTTCACTAAAATCAGTACAGAAGGGAAGTTACTAGAAACAGAGTGTAAACTAATCTTCTCCCAGATCGTGTCTGCGGTGAAGCACATGGTAAGTTGCTCTTCCACAGCATGTTGTTCTGCACTACTCTAGCAAATTTTTGTGGCTGTATCTTTGTTTTTCAATGAGGAGGTTTGCTGTTATCAAGATTCCAAGCCCACATTTCTCAAGAGAAAAACTACTGGAGAAGAGGTATCTTAAAGTTATCTAGAAGATCTTTCATCCCCATCTGCCTCCCTGCTGACAGCTTTTGGGAGAAGAGTGAACTGAGAATGCTGGGTGGGTGGAACCACCCATTAAGTAACATGGTGTTCTCCTGTCTGCTTTAAGCTGCTGCAGACACCAGGTAACAGCTTCATTTTTCTCCCTGCAGATATGTCAAAACATAGCATCACCCTGCCTCCTTCTGCTAGAAGAAAGTGTTCCAGACAAGAGGCTTGTAAAGTATTGCAAAAATTCAGCTTGTTTATTAATGAATGTAGGCGACTGGAAATTAGACAAATTCCTGGTCCTTGCTTTAGCACAGATCTGTGAAGTGAACACCAAGCAAGTCACGTCCCTTTGCCTGGTCTTCAGTATCACAACTGGATTTAGGATGATGCTGTTTATGTAGCACACAAAGCCTCTTATAAAGGCAGAAAAGGGCAATTATGATTATCTGCTTCCAATACAGCATCCTCTGAACCTTGCATAGTATCTACAGCTGCTTACAATGACAGCGTAAAGAATGAGAAGGTTCCACAGGTTTAAGAAATAAAACTAGTATTTGTTGAAGTTGGCCCAGGGTGCCCTCCAGTGACTTGTATTTTCTTGCAACATAGGCTTCTGCTCTGAAAACCAGGAAGTCAAAAGTAAGGGTATTTCCAGGTCAGACATCTAGAAACAGTATTAAAATCTGCTGGCGGTATACATAAGCAGTACACGTTTTGTGAACTTACTTTGTGAACTAAATCTTTGTGAACTAAAAGCTTTCACTTCCTGATTCCACGTGCTTACAACAAATGCAAAAATGGAGTTACTGTGAAAAGGAAACTGGTTTTGTTACTTAAATCATTACAGAAATGTTAATAGTTGCAAAAGCAAATATTCTAAACCCTAAAAAATAAGCTAAGCTATGCTGTAGGTTTTGCTACAAGAAAGTATCTGGTCTTGTAGGGTTACACTTGATGTCATTACAAATCTGCTTAATGGAAACAGTGGTTATTAGTTAACAAGAGACTTATCAAAAAAAAAGAAAAAAAAAACCTTCTTCCTATCTCCTTCAGCTACTCTATTGTTTTCGTATCAGGAGAGAAGGAAGTTACATTTGGTTTAAATGCTTTACCTTTTCAAGTTGATAGCAATGGTTAGTTCTGACTTTGCCTGAGATAATGCCGTTTTTTTTTCCCCCTCTATTGTAACTCGCTGATGGTCACTTAAGAACGTTGCTGTGAACAAGCTAACACTAAGTCTTCCTCTTGTTCTATAGCATGAGAATAATATCATTCACCGGGACTTGAAAGCAGAAAATGTGTTCTATACCAGTAACACCTGTGTTAAAGTGGGAGACTTTGGATTCAGCACAATAAGTACAAGAGATGAAACTTTAAATACTTTCTGTGGCTCTCCTCCTTATGCTGCCCCTGAACTCTTCCGAGACGAAAACTATGTTGGCATTTATGTAGACATCTGGGCACTAGGAATCCTGCTATACTTCATGATAACTGGTATTATGCCATTTCGGGCAGATACAGTGGCCAAACTGAAAAAGTGCATTCTTGAAGGAACATACAGTTTGCCCCCTTCCCTCTCAGAAACTTGTCAGAAACTGATAAAAGGAGTCCTTCAGCCAGTACCAACTGACCGGTACTCTGTCAAACTTATTATGAACAGTGAATGGATGCAAGGGATACAGTATCCTAAACCTTTAGAGCCCTTTAAACTGGATCCAAAGTATTTATCAGAGATCAGTACGCTCAAAGAGGAAGAAGTTGAAGTGAAAAGTATTCTGAAAGATCTGGGAATCACAGAAGAACACATTCAAAACAACCGGGGAAAAGATGCGCGCAGCTCAGTAACGGGTGTCTACAGAATTGTTTTGCACAGAGTACAAAAGAAAAGGGCACTGGAAAGTGTTCCTATAATGTCCAATCCAGATCCCAAAGAACAAGACTTTAAGAAAGAAAACAGTTCTTACAGTGGGCTAAAACACACATCCAAACTGTGTTCAATTTTATAAATTGCACTGGAGGCTTTATACTCGGCACACTTAACAAAGGGTTTTATTCATTTTTCACAAGTTTTGGTGTTAAATTTTTGTAATTTTTAAATAAACCAAAAATGCCTTATCATCTCCTCCGTATTTTTGAATTCACACTGAAGTGGCTCAGTTGCAGGGCTCTAATGGACTTACGTTTGTCCCTTGCTCCAGAGACCTGGCATAGACAGCGCAAGAAGCGTTCAGGTAAGTAAAACAGGTAAGCGTTCATTAGTGAAGGCAATCTTTTAATAAAGACCGAGTAGTATTGCACTTTACACTCTTGGGCGGTATCTCAGTACAGACATGTAACAGTTAACTTCTTGAAACGTTTTACCTTAGCTTGGCACAACTGGACTACCACAAACCTGGACAGTTTTTGCAGAGATCTGAGTTTAAGCAGAAACCAGCCCATGCTCTAACCAACTGCAATTTTTTCTTAAAAACTTCTCCAGCAAATTAAACCTGGTTTCAATTGTCTATTAGAGCTTCATTTTTTCAACTTTTATTTACAGAAACTACAATGCTGTCTGTCAAACCCAGAAACCAGCTGGACAATGCGTCCCGATTTGTCACAATTCAGAAAAGCTGCCTAGTCAGATTTAGATATGCTGCTTTAACCCTGCATATATGGTTTTAATTTCTACTGGAATCAGCTGGGCTACCATCTACTAACCTTTTAATTATTTTTAAGATGCTGACAGTCTAAGAACCGCTTGGAATCCAGTCGCACTCCCAATAAAGAAACAACGAGATATTAACTGTACTCTAAAATTCATTTCGTTTTTCTTGCTTTAGCACTACGTTATCAGTAAGCTGAATGCAACTCGTAAAGGCATCTGCTTATAAATCGAGCGTTCAAGGCTTCTACTAACTTTTGGCATAATTGGCAATCGTGGGCTGGCATAAAGCTAATTTTGATACTCCTGACAACTGCAAGTTAGATGTTGGAAAGCTTGACCATTTACACCAATTGTTCTGAACTTCACCAAAATGCAGATATTCCTACCTTTAGCTTTGATAAGGTATTTTATATTTTCATGTGCAGCACCATTGGCTCAAATGCAAATCCTGGAAAGATACAGTAGCTGTCCTCCTCTGAACAGGCACAGTTGAAATATCTAAGCTAAGAGGTAGAGCCTATGTTGTTTCAGTTAAGGCAAGTAAACTTATACAGGACGTAGTGATGTACGAGCTGGTGCTTTCAAATTTGAAGGAAGGTTTGCTGTATCTGTTACTGGGGCTGATGAGATATCAGCTGACTTTAAAAGGAACTAATTAATGTAAATTAATCAGAGCAGCAGAATGAGAAGCCACCAGTGGGCATGTAGGCCAACTCAGGCTCAGGTAGGCATAAAATAAGAAACAAATCACTTTCACCACAGTTGTGAAAGGGGGATTAAAAAAAAATACCATCTTTCACAAGACAGTAATAAGAGGAATTGTATCTCATCAGCTAGGAATGAATTATTCCCCTCTAGAAACAGTTTCTGTCTAAAAGCATTTAAGAGATCTGGAAACATAGCCCTGAAGTACTGGTTTCCCACTAGCCTGAGCAACCCTTTCCGCTTTTATAATGGAATGGTATTAAGAAATAAGATCCAGGAGGTCCACCTCACTTGTGAACCCAGAACTTCAAACTTTCACAGGGCCAGTTTCCTCTTTCTTTCCTGTTAAAGAAAAAAAAAAATCCTGAAATCCCAGGTTTCAAATATCTCAAACTTTATTTTAGTAAAGGATCAGCCTCACAAACAGTGAGGTTCCTGCGGTTAACTTTTTGTGCCAATAGCTCAGTCCTTGGCTTGTCCACTGCCAGCAATGGACTTGGTTCCATGGCAAACTTTTTTTTCCTGGTGCCAAGGTAAGTTTCATGAGGGCGCCTAAACCCAAATACTCACAATGCTATCTTCATGCATCATTGTTCCATCACTTTTCAACAGAACAAACAGATTAGTACCCAGTAATTCATAATAAGCAACTATTTTACCAAAGCCTGACTGTACAAATCCAGCAGAAGTTATCAAATCCTAGTGAGTGACAGATCATACAAACACTTCATTACACCAAAAAAATTGTAATTTAACAGACAAATCATTTCTTTTGCTACTTTACATTATCTAATGTAGCTCTGTAGGATTAGACAAAGAAAGAAAACTCAACAAGACTTTGTTCTGTACATTAACTCATATTTAAATATATATTACAAGCTTACAAGGCTCATGTCATAGTTCATTTCCAATCTGGGCTTTAAAAAAAATCTACCCGAATGGATTCCCCATTAGCATTGTACATGTACCACTTGTAAAATGGCTAGCTTTTAGTTTGCGTGTTGGAAAAAAAACAAAACAAAACAAAAACATCACACTTATCTACTACACCATTACTAATATTTCAAAGTATGAAGCCAAATTCAGAGTTAGAAATAGTCTCTTAGAAATTGATATATAAAGAATAAGGAGAGGCCAGAGTTATAGACAAACCGATCTTCCTCCCTTCCTTAGTTTGCCAATTGAAACAGCTCCAGAAGGTCTACAAGTTTTATTTGAAAATTAATCTGTCTTAAAATACTTATTCTTCTGTTACAGTTAAATAATCTTGAGAAGTGCCAACATCGATGAAACCAAGAAATGCACCTTTTTGTTCTTTGGAAGAAAAAAAGCAACTGCCTCATGTCAGTCTTCTTTCCTTCCACACTGCTGTGATTTATACTGAAGGTATAAAACACACAATATGAGACGGAATTATATAGTAACTAACATAGTCAGTTATAGAATTTTTTTTAAAAATATGTCAGCCTAGCTGTTCTGAATCCAGTCATTTTTGATAGGAGAGAGAGAGATTCTAGTCCATTAATCAATGTTACCTGGTTCTATACCTTTTCCAAAGCAATGTGGCAGTTGGGAGGTGGACTGGGAGATGAAAGGGAAGGTGATAAAGGGGGAAGAGAAATGCAGTGTTCAGAAGATTGACTGCTTACTGTCAAGGCACTGAGAACCCTAACATTAAAAGCTTAGACTGTTTTGCCACACACTTTTGAATACAAGTTGTTATAGCAGTGTACGTTTCAAGTCACTTCATATGGAAAAGGCAGGCAGAAGAGTCATTTTTCTATGTACAAAGATCTTGTAATAGACAACAGCTACAAGTCAACAATTAAAAAAAATTTAAATGTGTTAAGGAACCCACAAAGACCCAGGCAAGTTCCCCCCCCCATCTCCAGTATATTAATGATTTTAGTAGGCTGAAAACACTATAAATATCACACCATATTAAAATGTATCTTTTCAAGGACATTAAACATTTTTTTCATGCTCCAATTAATTATTACTGTACAGTGAAACTTCATACTATTTTAATCCTTTTTTTCCTCTCTCTCTCTCTCATCCTACCCTTGCACCTTTTTGTCATTCCCCACCTCACAGAGGTATCTTAATGCTCCCCATTGGAAATGGCAACAGTAACGCCTTCAGATTCTGTTGTTGCAGGAATTCTTGGCACTTTCTTAGCAGGGCTTGGGATGTGCTAAGAAGAAGGGGGGGAAAAAAAAACATTAAGTACAGTTTTCTAGTTCACATGCATTCTTACTTCAAGGCTACTCCAACTCTCAGACAACATTAATGCAACACTGGACACCTTGGTCTTAAATCACTCAGATCAGTCATGTTTCATGCAAACTGATTATGTGAAAGGAGCCAGTTACTTGTGTAGTTTCACTCTTCTTGTGATGATATGTACTTCTTAAAATTCCATGTTCACTATTTTACCTCTGGCTGGTACATCACATAATTTTAACAAAGTATTTGAAATAACTTGTCAGACCCTTTCCTCTTTTGACATACATACATCCACACGCTAACAAACACATGCACGTCCACTGTTGCACTATTTAACTCCAACATTAAAAGAGTGTACAGTGTTCACCTCATGAACAACGTGTGGGTGGACAACTTCAACTCCTGCCTCCAGAGGTCCATCGCCCCTCAGTGGGCGCCTTGCATAAGTTCTTCTGTGTTTTTCATCCACACGCACAAGATACCATGTTCCCTCAAAGAGATCTTCTGCTGAACACTGTGGAATATAGTTGGCTGTAAGAAAGCCCGTAAGATACACAGTCAGTTCCTGGTTACAGTTTTACAGAAGACCAACATGTACACAGTGCAGTTTGGAAGCAGTCAGACACAAAAATTAAGTCCGCATTTTCATTTCAACCACACTGGGCCCACAAATAGAAGCTACAGAAAAGCACTTTACAAGCTATATAGAAGTAGAAAGAGTTGGAACTTCCCTTCATTCTATACCCCAATCATTTAACTAAGTTCAAGTAAATTAAGCCACGTGGATTTTGCTGTAGGACGAAGGATGATTTATATTTAGGCAGTTTTTACCCAAATGATGTGTTTCCTGTCTAATCTTCATGTTTTCAGCAAAGACATCAGGTGCAATACATTTTCTTGAGTCAAGTCTTGTTTTAAGATCAGAAAGGCTGGCAGTTATTTTGTCCAGGGAAGAACCTACAATAAAAAAGCATCACGTAAGGCAGCACCAGTGCTGAGAGATGCATACCAGCACGTAAGCATTTCAAAACCATTCAAAATACTTTGCATTGCAGACGCTAAAACTTTTAGTGATTTAAAAATATTCCACATTATGCAAGCAAAACACTTACTTACTTAGTATTTGAAGAACAAAACAGGTTGTCTATTTGCCCAAGGAAAAAGTTAAAAGTATTCCCTGGAACATCTTTAGTCCACTGTTACTATCATTAGGCATTGTTCTGCAGGTCTACTTAGGCTGGTGGTTCATTTAACAAAGCAGCTGTAAGTAAGTAAGTAAGTGAACTGTCCAAGGGATTTAATGAGCTTCTCTTCCCTTCACTCACCAGGAGTGGCATCCTGTGTAACTTTGATGGAATATAATGTAGCAGCAAAACCAGAGCCGTAGGAGAACACACTAATTCTCTGTCCTGCAAGCTGCTCTGGAGAGTACCTGCAAATCAAACAACAGCTGTTTAAAGTGAGAATTAAGCCTAGGTGTCAATTTGAAATAACCAAAAAATTGCAGCTAGCTTACAAAAAGCAGCCAGCAAATTTTATTAACTAAAATGCACGTTTATCATCACTATATGCATAAATGATTTTTTTTTTAAAACAGGCTTTCAAACACTGCTGCTAAGCAATTATTTTCAAGGATGACTAAGCAAAAGAGAGCACATTAATGCCCAGAATATGATTATCTAGAAGACACCTAATTCTCAAATTACCTAAAGCCTAAAATGAACTATCCCATCCTGAAATGCAAGGTCACAACAAAGAAAAAAGTGACCCCAGAAGAGTGGTTCTATTTAAAAGGGATTTTGCGAAAGCCTCAGTGATTGCACAAAATACAACAGCGTGTCAATCAAATATTGATTTCGTTTGGCTATGCTTATTAGAGGAGAATTGGAATACCTTCTCTCTTCTCCTATCACTACGTTTTTTTTGTTTGTTTTGAGGCTAGGAAAAGATCACCACCCTACAAATAAGATCCTACTTTAGAAGGCAGGAAGCAGCTCTTTCAGGTCAACTTCTGGCAAGTAAGTTTTGAATTTGCTTTTCATTTGACCTGATTATGTGTGCAGAATAATTTTCTAGTTTTAGGCTTGCTACTCAAGGTAAGCTAGTAGGAAAAGGTTTCCTAGATGGTGCTTTTACAGAAGGCTATCTATCTGAAACAAAACTATTTTATATGCTTACATATGAAAAGCTAGTACTTTCTTTTCCTGATTTTATGCTTACTGGGCCAGAAGGGAAGCAAGACAACCATAGACTGAAGGGGTATACATATTTCCATTCTGATTGGATACAAGCAACGAAGCTTTGGTTTTCTGATTGAAGAGCTCAGCACTAGCTTTCATAAAAGCTTTTTCCACATCTCTGTCAAAATAGGTATCTTCCAGTTTAACATCCCTACAAAAAAAGAAAGCATTTAAAAACAGTCACTAAAATAGCAGAAAGGAAAGAGATCTTGGATGTTTAACAAATTATACTGGCTGAATAAGGAAAACAGCAGCTATTCTCACCTGAAAGCTTCCAGACCACCGAAAACACCATCTGCTGTTTCTGGGTTCTGGTCACTGAGAAAGTCATTCAGCAACAGTCTGGCCACAGACTTCTGTACCAGTTTACAGTAGGGAGAATGAAAGATCATGAATCCAAAGTCATTCAAGGTAAAACGTCTGTCCGTCCCCTCTGGAAGTGGCAGAATATGGTGTGTTACAACTTACTAATAGCACTCACTTTAACCATTAAAATAAAACAGCAAATTATGACATGTCAGCATTCAAAAGACAACCATAAGATTAACCATTGCTGCCAAGTTCACTTAAAACACTGCCACTATTTCTATTTAAAAAATTATTTCTTATTATCTTGTGCATCAACAATGCCCTTTTTCTAGAAGAAGATCCTATAAGCTTGACAGGATCTCAGTATTTCCACTCAGTATTTTGAGATAAGAAATAAGCTACTTCATCTAATTTTCAAACCTATGCTTCTTAATAAAGGTGAAGCAATCATTAAAAATATGGGGGTAAACATCAATATTGTTATACAGCATATAAATACTGACCTCAATACCTTAAGAATTTTGGGGGAGAAGGAGAAGGAACGTTCTTTTAAGCAAGATATTACACGTTACAAAACTAGCAAAAGCCTGCTGAGGCTGCTCCTTACTGAAGATCATGTATTCGGTCATACCAGTACAGAAATAAGACATTTCATAAGGGAGAGAGCAAACAAATATTTCAACCACCTCAAAACACATACATACAAAGAAATGGAGCATATACCAGTCTTTTTAGAGTAGATGCCAATATTTGAAAATATACGTCTGTGTAATTAGACATTCCAGTATTTGCCAGATCTTGCAATGTCATGCTACATGTGAGGCTACGTACCCTTTTGCCACTGGGCATGGATTTTGTTGCGATAGACAGTATAGCAGCGATCTAATGCACTGAGGTAGCATTGTATAGATAATTTGCCATCAACTACAGGATATTCAGACACCATGTCTGGTTTATAGAAGTCATAAGCATGCTGCATGTGGGTTCCACGCAATCCTGGTTAAGAGAAATTGACAAAAAGCACTTTATTCATCTACTCTTGAGTTGATTTAAACATATCACATGATACATGTGAAGAACAAGTAACTGGCCCCAGTCAAGAAGGCTTCAACAGCACTTCCGTCCCCCCCTCTTTCACACATAGTTCTCGATTCCCTTGTACTCAAGTACAGCAGGATTGAGCGTGACAAACACAAGTAACAAATGATTTTCATCAATTCTTCTTGTACGTAGAGAGCTCTGTTACTCAGCCCTAGTCCAGTCTCTGTCAATTTTACTGGAGAATCCCCAAGGAAAAATCAGACAGAAGCATCACCAACTGATCCTTGCTGCCTCCTCTAACGAGACTTGCATAAAATAGCCAAGAGCAAGAGAAGACAAAGTACAATTTCTGACACAAGTGGCAGTTAACCCAGCCCTCCAGCAACCCACAAAAAACAGGGGACAGGCTTCAGAAGGGATACAGTCTCCAGTTGAATGGTATCTATTTTCTCATAGAACTAACCTCTCTCAAAAATTAAAGGTGCATTTGGACCAACTAGCATAGCAACAGCACCAGCTCCACCCGTTGGCCTGGCATTCCCAGTGGCATACACAGCTATGTCTCCAGCAACAACAAGTGCATAACGTCCTGCAAAGAACGCACAGAAATAACCATGAAAAGGAGTCAAGATCTAGTAGATTTTTTATATCCAGCAGTAATTCTTAGACCTCTGTTTATAGAGGATATGACTGCAGGATAAAGGTGCTCTTCAATCTTTACTTATTCTGCCCATTTCACGTTTTTCCTGGCAACCAGCAAAATTTCCATGAAAAACCCAGTGATGTGTATCTGTGTCATTAATTCTGTGGATGTGATTAGACTAGTGGCCAACGCCCAGAGCACGTAAGAAGGTGACTTCAGAGAAGTGCACTGTTTTACCCTCTGGGTCCTATATAGTTAAACATGACCACTGATTCATCAACAACAGAGAATGACGTAACTTTCAACAAAATACCCTGTACTTACCATCCCAAGAACTGGACTCAATCCAGTTAATAGCATTAAAAAGAGCAGCGGTGCCTCCATAGCATGCATTGGTGGTGTCAATTCCTTCTACATCTGTATTACCAGATTCTTCAAAGAGCTGCATCAGGACAGTCTTTACTGATTTTGATTTATCAATTATTGTCTCCGTTCCAACTTCTAATCTCCCAATGCAGTCATAGGAAAGACTGTTCCTCTCCATGAGCTTCTGAACCACAGTCAAACAGAGAGAATTGATATCCTCCCGGTCAGAGCAGAATCCCATCTTTGACTGGCCTAACCCAATGGTGTATTTGCCAGCATCCACACCATCATACTTCTCCAGCTCTGCCTGGTCAACATATTGAGAAGGAAAATATATTTCCAGTGCAACAATTCCCACATCTTTTGGCCAACAGAATTCAGCATTCACTGGAAGAGACCCAGGCATCGTGGCAGATCTTTTTTAAAACAAAAACAAAAAAAAACAAACAAAAAACACAGCTGAGTTATTCACATCCGTTTTTAGCAACCTACTTCACATATACTACAATTTTCTATACGTTTACAGAAAAGGTTAACTTTCAGCTATTTTAGTTTCATCTGCAAAAGGTAAGCCTTTGCCTCTTGGGAGGTGTCGGTCTGAGCATACAGTAAACATCTTCAGAAATTTACTAACTTTTTACAACTAAGAAGCGCTTTTAACTGAAAATACAATTTCAGACCTGGAAATATTCAGACCCGAAATATTTCACTGACGCAAACAGACAGGTAACAAATGTTAAGTGCTCAAGAAATATGAGTCCTAATGTTCATTTTTCTACTTTTGCTTCTAAAGGCTGTATCAGGTCTCAGTTTTACACAACAAAGCTAGAAATATGGGATTTTTTAAATGGATTGAGAACTTAAGTTTACAATGTACCCTTACCAGGAAATTTCAGCCTTAAACGGCCTTCAGAACTGTTTTTATTCTTAAATTAAATGATCTAGTTGCTCCATTTTGCTTATACTTGCAACAAAGATAGCAGTTTCTGTGTCGTGTTCTCCCCCTCCCAATGTAGTCTTTTTTTGACATTCCTGAATGCCAGACGCGGAAGAATATTTCACAGGCTCAGGAGAACGCACAGGGATTCTTCCTGGTAGATTGAGATTTGTCATTTTAACCCTCTCACTCTACTATTACTATGCCCCAAAATATACTATATTCTATTACTTTAACCCTATCCATATTAAACAGATAAGCACACTTTTTCCTATACTTTTACTTACATCCTCAAGGAACAATCGTCTCTGTGCCCAGCTATAAGTACTGTCAAATTGACCTTATCCAGCTTCTTCTATAAGATCACGATGAGCTGCATAAAGGAATAAAGCCTTTCTAACCAGAAATGATGGCTTCACATGATACATATTAATACAAACGCTAAGAAAACTTTAAAAATGTCTTTTGTTACATGTACAATTGACTATAAAAGTCCTAAATGAGACTTAAAGTAAGAGTGCACGGCTTGCATGCATTTCGATTGCCTTTAAAAAAGTTTCACACACACCTACGATGTACCTAAAGTAACCCGTTTCACTCTGTATTTATTCATACTAAAACGTGCAAATGCGCAGAAAAGTCTGTTTAAAACTGCTTTCTGAAGTGTTCCAGAACAACAATACCTACAACCTATTAACACAGGATTTCAAGGAAACAGATTTTAAGATGCATCCTATTACAATCAAACTCTCCCACTACTTTCATCTAGTCAAATGAAAAAACAACACCCATAAAAAAAAAAACACTGCAAGATTAAGATTAAAAATGGGACCGTAGCTAATTAGGGTTTTTCTTTTTCTGAGCTATCTCGTTTTGAAACGCATGCCCGTTAAACAACCGCAGCTGCACAGACCTCCCCAGCTCAGTGACCCCCTGCCAAAAACTTCTCCAGGCGGCAGAAGCACCATGCCCCGAGGCGCGGCGATCTGCAAACGGGCCGGTGCGTTATCCCG